TACTGTCATAGGTTCTAATGGACATATCTCTGGGCTATCAACATTTCACATACCATTTTTACTGCAGATTGTCTATCACAGATCATGGCTCTCCTTATCATAATACACTGTGGGGGTAATTATGTACTATGCAATCTATCACTTTTACTTAGTTATTTCTTAAATGGTGGCACTAAAACTCTATTTTAAAATTTAATCATTTGATAAAATGGCAAGAAATAGAAAGATCAAAATAACAACAAACTTTAGCGCCACCATCTAAAAAAACTAATAAATAACTAAAAGTAGTAGACTACATGATTAGGCACTGTAGGAAGTATATTATTTGGTATCAAGATTATTATTATGCCATTACTCAGAGACCTCCATACTCAGAAACAATTATCATCAGTCCCCAAGATGCAATAGTACTCAATGCTAAACACCCCACATTACCAGATTGTGGCATTTCATGTTGCTTTAGGCTGGCACCATTGCGAACAGAGCTGTCAATGTATCAATATTAAAAGCAGCACATGTTAGCAATGTCAGGATCACACATTTCGGTCATAGGAAGTCAGGAAATGATCTGTGGGGAAGTAGAAGCTGCTAAATGTGCCAGAATGGTGAATTAGGTCACTGTGGTATCTGTGGTTAATTGGTTCACTGTAGTCACTGTCACATGCCTGACACATGATCTTCACTGTAGTCACTATCACATGCCTGACACATTATCCTTTGATTTTCCGTACTAATTGTAAAATCAAAATTGTTTGCCACTTGACAAAATTTCTGTGTCACTTAGCCTATTTTATAATCAAGTTTCACTTCAGTTGTCGAGTTTATATCTTATCTGGCAACTTTTTTTCAGTTTAAAAAAAAAATTAATTCAGTAAAGTTAATCATATTAACTAAATTGTGATCATAACAGACAATGTATTTTTCATATTTTTGCATACAAACAGGCAGAACTCCGGCAAATTGGAAACAATATTTAAATTATAACATTAACAGTGATAACATTAAGCGGCGCCTACTGTATATAATGTACAAGGTACTCAAAAAAGTTCTTGCCATTTCTGATATGACATTGGACGAGTGAACCCCAACATAAAAATAGTCGCCAAACCTGGCGATGAAGTGTTTAGGATGGGAGTCCGGACATTGACCAGGAGTATAAAAAAGCATTGCATCGGTACTTCAAACATAACTCACACAGTGACTGATTGAAATAGATGCGTCAAAGGAGTTGGAGTTGTTTGCTGCATGATTTTAAAGTGGGCCTGACAGCAGCAGAATCAAGATCGCCGAATTCGCCAGGCATTTGGGGATGATGCCGTTTATGAACGAACCACTTGGCAAGGGCTCCAGAAGTTCAGGTCAGGGGATATGCCTCTTAGTGATGCACTGCACAGCGGTCAGCCACAAGCGACGATCAGGCCCTGAGAGGAGCCACAGAGAATGGCAGTAACTAAACATGTGATGAGCTTGCTGCATACTTCCAGGTATCTGATGAAATGATCAGACCCCATTTGCACCACACAGAAAAGGCATACAAGCAGAGCAAGTCGGTACCCCACTCACTGTCCGATTCAAACAAGCAACAGCATGTCGCTGCCTGTTTGGCATTGCTTACTCGGCACCACAATCCATCCATATTTGATCGAGTGCTCACCAGCGATGAAAGGTGGGTCCAGTATGACACACCCAGGCATTCCAGGTATTGGTTGTCACCACAGGACCCTGTGCCTTGCATTGAGAAACCTTCTCTCTGCCTGCACAATATCATGCTTTGTATCTGGTGGACTAGTCACCAAGTGGTGCACTACGAGCTCCTACCAGTGGGCCAAACCATCATGGCAGGCCTGTACTTGCAGCAATTGGAATGTGTGTATGAGGCACTGCATTGGTCAGTCGTAAGGGTGTACTCCTCCTCCATGACAATGTGAGGCCGCATGTGACTCAGGAGGCCAGGGACACCATCCAGCAACTGGGCTGGGAGACACTACCCCTTCCACCATACTCCCCAGATCTCGTGCCAAAAGACTACCACCTTTTCTATTCCCTAGACAACCATATGCATGGGAAATCCTTCAACAACCAGCCAGGCCTCGATAAGGCCCTCATGGGCTTCTTTGCATCCAAGACTCCTGAGTTTTACTGCAATGGCGTCGCAAAGCGAACCACTCGTTGGCAAAAGGCACTCAATACCTATGGTAATTACTTTGAGGATTAGCGACTTTTTCTTTCTGACTGTCCAAAACAGCAAGAACGTTTTTGGTTACCTTGTAAATGTAAAAAATAAAATTAGAAAAAGTGCTAAATTTCAAGTTGCATACTAACTGGATTCATACTTAGATTGCTGACTGTGTATGCTAAGTGTGAATTGGAGTTAACATAATCTTTCCAGATAAATATATTGTGTTGTTCACTAAAGGTATGCAAATTCTCTATGACTTGTGGATCTACTAGTTCTTGATTAAGACACTCTGATTGATCAGGAACAACTAGTGACGGGAAAGACTTCTAGCTTTGTTGATTAGCCCAACAGATGAATGGGTTTGTTTATTGCATCCCTCATATTGAGAGGACATAAAAAAAATGGTTTATAAAAAATACTTTCAATTACTTTCTATGGTTTAAATATATTATCGTTCAGAGCAAATTTTTTCATTTGGGATGCTAAAGAGCTGATGAATTAATAAAAAACATAACAATTAAATACAACAATGAAGTTTGTATCTAAAAAACTGTTTATTTAAGATCCCCAAAAAAGATAATTTATACTTGAAAAAACAAAATAAAGAAGTATAAAACATATGAGCAATTTGTTTTCTGAATATGTCAGGAAGCTTTCACATAATGATATTAAAAGTCTCATAATAATATCATACATAAAGGAATTAAATTTTTTAATTTATTGTTTACAGCTTATTTGATCTCCAGTACATTACTTTGAATAAGTTGTTGTTTCATTCTAAAATTTTCATCATCAGAAATTAGTTACCATGCACAGGAAACATTTCCAAAGTGAATTTAGAAGTCAAACAATAAAAATCAGCATTTTATTTGCAAATTTTCACATGACTAGTTTTAATGGTTTTACTGAACCCTCAGCTGCCAAAGCGCAAATGAATGAGATAAAATATAGTGATTTTTTTTAATGTGAACTGCCTCTAGATAAAACATGGAAAGTGATTTTTGGATCAACAATGCTGGGCAACAGAGGACTTCTGATTTTCCTTTTCCCTAACATATGCCTCATGTTCTTTAAAGCAAAATTTTAAGGCTCTCTTAGTTTGACCAACGCAAATTAAGCCACACTGGAAAGGAATCCTGTAAATACCCCAGGAATTCATATCCAGAAAGGAGTCCTTAAGTATGGAAATCGGAATTTTATTGATAGGAGAATAAACTACCAAAAAGTTAAATTTCTGTAAAATATGTGCAATTTAATAGCTAACTAATGGAAAGAAAGTAATGACAACAGAATTCTTATAATCTTCTAAAGCAAGAGTATGCCTTTTGTTGAGATGAGAATTTTTTTTAACTGCTTGGTTAATAATGTTGGGTGTAAAGCCCCTGTCAATAGCTACTACTTTTACATAACTTAGTTCTTGATCAAGAGCCAATTTGGAGGAGTAAACTTGAAATGCAAGAAAAACAAAGGAATAAAATGAAGCTAACCTTTGTTTAGTCGGATGACATGATTTTGAAGTGTGATGGAAGGCAAACCGATTAAGGTTTACGGTAAACAGCAGTACTGAAGTTGGCTGTGTAACGTGTGACCAAAATGTTGAGGAACGGAAGAGAATTGCATCTCTCAAGTTCAAAAGTCAAATAAATAGCAAGATCAATGGAATTCATTATTGAAAGAACTTTATTTAAATCGTCTTTATTACTGCCAAACAGGGTAAAAGTATTGTCTATGTAGCAGAACCATACTGGTAAGTTTCAAGTTTCAAATAATTTTGTTTCATAATGATGCATGTAGATATCAGCCAGGATGGGACTAAGAGGGCTTCTCATGGCTAATCCCTCAGTTTGCTTGTAATACTTATTTTGGAAAACAAAATGCATTTGTTTCAAACAGAGTTGAGTAAGGGAAATTAGCTCATCAATTCTGATGCAGGAGAAATGAAATTCATGAAGTCTGGTTTCTAGACATTTTAATGCACCCTTCACTGGAACATTGGTGGCCATGTTTGTTCGGCATGTTATTTTAACCTAAACTTACATAGTATTAGGAAAATAAAGCTGTGCATTTAAGAACAATTGTTAAATCATCCTGTGGCACCCCGACTTCCTTGATTTAAACAAAAATAAAAAAAAACTGAACTCATAATTAAAATATCATTAGAAATAAAATATCTTCTCCCTGAAGCTGTTCCTTTGAAAAGTGAACTTAGTTCCCCCCCTTGCCTTTTTTTTTTTAATTCCATGTCACACTCTTGCATTTGGGGACAAAACATTCTTTAACAGTGGGATAGTATGTTTGAAAGCAAAGGGCAGTAGACAGTGTCTTTCCCACTCATGAAAGCAGCAGCCTTTAATTTGTGTAAATATACATAAAAATATTAATTTAGAATATTAAATAACTAATTCCTTTATAATAGTATGTGCAATTTCCCAAACAATATGAAGATGTAAATACATTTGTAGAGGCATTAGGTATTTTTCGAAAGCAGGCAACATGGAAAATTAGCAAATACTTTTGCCAGGAATCGAACCTCGGACCTCTGGAATACCGGCCCAGTGTGCACTAGGAAGTCAGAAGAAATACTTTATACATTAAATAAAATTTTAAAAAATTATGTAATTCTACCCATGATAGGAAACACTAAATATATTCAAAGTCTTTCTTTTAACTGCACTAACACAGTGTTTTGCCCTTGAGAATAACACAGTGTTTTGTTTATAATGAAACAAAACTAGTGTCACTGAAGATATAAAATGTCAGTATTCATTGAAATACCCTATACGTAGAATCACAATGTTTAATTATAAAGAAATATACATACCATCATCAGGAACAGGTACAATAATAAGCTCTCTGTCAATAAATACTATATTATTAGGATGCAGAGCAACATCAACATTCCATGTTTCATAGTAATGCACATAAAATACTTTCAACTGAGGCTGTACCAGGCAGTTCCTATGAAAGAAAGAAATTTCGATAAAACATATTATAACTCAAAGTTCCATGTGTACAAATAAAATTATGCACAATAATAAAACAGTAGCTTACTTTTATCACATAAATCTATCTTTACATAGTTTATACTACAACAATACTTTACCCACAAGGCAGCTCAAGTAAAAGTTAAACGTGGAATTTAATAGCTGGATATGTGGTGCTATGCTTGATAAATCAATCATATTGAGCTTAATAAATCTGTGGTATGTGGTATTATGCTTAGTAAACAGGATTCATACACATTTCTGCCCATAGAAATTAAGTATGTTCATACCATGGATGTAAGAAAGGAAGTAGAGGCCAACCCTGAACTACGAGTGAAACACAGCTCCGAGGCTTTGGTCTCCAGATTGGGTGTTTTTTGTTTACATTCAAAAGCTCCCTTGACAGTGCTTTAATAGTATTTCGACACACAACAGTTCCACACAAATCGAAAAATGGGACACTTCCGCATAAAGAAAACATTCATTGTGTGATGGATAATAGCAGTTTGTGTAGTTTAGTGACATTTATGCAAAAATCAGATCTTGGTTATTTTTTGATAAATAACAACTATTTGTTTTATAAAATTCTAAGCTGTTGAACACCAAAAAAAAAATTATAGATTTTTAGCAAAAATGTTATGCTTAAAGAATGAAAAATACCATACGGTACCTTTAAAATTGTACCCGTTCTTCGATACCCTTGATAGAGTATTCACTACTTTTATGTTCCAAATGCCAAATATTATATATATATATATATATATTGTCATTCACATATCATTGTGACATGTACTTTCTAAAAATTTTTAGAAAGGCTTTATAGTTCCTCATTTTAAACTCATCATTTTATTTTTATATAACTGAAGAATAATCACAAAATGTACCCTAAAACATGTTTTAAGTCAAAAGTTTGAAACTTGATGGCTAAATGTAAACATAAAATCATGCATTTTAAATATTTGTAATTAGACACATAAGTCAGGTTAAGTTTTTATTAAATAGAGTAAGGCAAGCAAGGGCTATCTGGAACAGATGCCATCATGAAGGAATTTCAAAGAAAAACTTACCTTTGAGTGGGTAATAAAAATAATGCATGTAATTTTCATTCAATTATATTTATACATATTTCTTATGTAAAAATGTTGGGTATATACTAAATTATTGTAAATTTACTCGAAAAATATAAAGAATGCACAAAAATTAAAGATTTGCACATGCCAAAAATGAAAAATATGAAACATGTATGGGTATTTACGCTTATGCTTGCAAAAAGCATGTATCTGCCTATAACAAAGTGTAAATATTTTATTAAATTATTTATAAATGCATTTGAAATGAAAGATTCATTCATTCATAAACTTCTGTGAAAGTTACTGTGAAGAAATTTCAGTTATTAAATGTATCTAAATTTATAATAATTATAAATATTATCTAAATATATAATAGACTTAACATTGAATTTTAGACATAAATTTAAATCCTGTTGACAAATACATTTATAAAACTATTTAAGCACGAATTTTTCGTACTCGAAAGCAATCTGTTAAAAGGTATTGTACAGCAAATTTTATGAGATGTGTACTTAAGGAAGTAATAAAGAAAAGTTTTAGAATATGTATTGTTGAAATTAAGCTTAAAAAAAATCTTGTAAAATTAAAAGAATTACTCCCTTACATTTTATAATATCTCATTTACAAGTTTTAAATAATATTTGAAAAAAAATCCTTTTTTTATTCCCTTTCAGAAATATTCAGAGAAAGTTAAGTACATGGAAACCAGCACCGATATTTAATGTAATTTCACTACTAAAATAAAAGGTCCTCTCATTTGAAATGGACCAAATAGAGCATTAATTATAAATTGATTTAGATTTTTCAATTTAAAAGATGCCTCAGAAGCTAAAAAATCATGTCATATTTGAGAAAGTATTTTAGGAAGAAGCACTAAAAATAGAAAAGAAATAATGCATAATTTTAATATTAATAATACAATAAACTTTGATCTTAATTTTTGTAATCCTTAATTGAATACCTTAACATTTTTTCTAATGTAATTAACAAAAACTTGTGAAAATATGTCATTCAAATTAAACTGTTCTGTGATGTATAGCATTTAATTCCGTTCAGAATGAAATGTTGTTTAAAAATGTGTTCTTTTCACATACTTAGGAATATGAAGTATTGTAGAAAAAGAAAATATATACATTTTTATGTATATTTACGATGTTATTACAAAATATTTACATCCGATCATGTCAAAACCCATTGATCTAAATGGTAAGTCACTGAATGTTTTGGTCACTATAAAGGGATCGCCAGTCCTTCAAAGCAGTGTATGGAGAAAATTGGTTAGGGCCTCTCCTGTTACTTCTTACTTCCATGGTTCATACACTTTTCTGCATGTTAAGGATTTTAAGGACCATTAATGAAAAAAATTAAGGACCTATCAGCAAATGAGAACTAAATAAATTAAATTAAACATATTATTTATGCCTGAACTTCACTTTTGTAATAAAATTCTAAGAGTAAAACAGATCTGTAAGTAGGATGTATTATTATTAAAAATAATTTACTGAGTCGCCCAGATGGTATAGTGGTTAGGGGAGCCTATTACAATACCGAAGGGCCCGGGTTCGAATCCCAGAGATGATATAGATGTTCATAAATGCATAGTGCGGCACCCTAAATATGCTGCAAGCCAAACATCCTCTCATGTGGATTGGTGGAAAGGGAGAGTGGTGGGAGACACTTGAATCCCCCCCCCTCCGTTTAGTGAACAAAACCATAAAACTAATTTGAGAATAAAATCAACTAAGTAAAATTTATCAAGTATCATTAAATATTTTACACTTATAATAGATATAAGAAGATTAGTGGCATTTTATTAACATTTTACTAATAGTTAGCTTTATGATGATTTTTTTTTTTTTTTTTTTTTTTTTTTCTTTTATGTCTTATTTTGTCATGTATTTGCTCAATCTAGAGGTTTTGTAAATAGCAGGCAGATTTTATATCAAACAGCATGTGTTAAAATGAGAAGTAAAATCATAAATCAGCATAATTCTTAACAGAAGACCTAACAGAAACTGTTGCCACTGCTGCTATTTGCCTAGAGAAAGACCTGCTGATCAGAACAGACCTGAATACTTCATGCTGGAATGGTTGGCAGGTTTTGAAAGTTAGTTATGCTCTGTGTGTCTGACATTGTTAGTGTCATAGTTTTGTATAGAGCTCTTGAAGATGTAACCCAGTTAACATACTTCAAGGTTCCAATAAACCACTAAAGCACTGAAGGTGATTATTTGTTTTGTATGTGTATATGTGTGTTGTTTTAAGTCTCACTAGCTGTAAAGAATAAAATTATAATGTATCATTTAAGTTTTTAACCAGTTATTTTATGTTAATTTTCTTTCCAATCAGTCTTGTTTTCATTACCCTCCCAGAATGTAAATTTCCAGCATGCACAATGTTTGAATTAGGTAAAAAGAAGGAAGTATTTAAAGGAAGATTAAGGAGAGTGAAATCGGAGCATTTTTTGCCTGCTTGAAGGTGACGTTGCTAACTTTGATTCTCCAGCAATCAGTATTCTGCGACGTTGAGTTATTCTTGCCATTAGACGTGTTTACGCCTATTTCGGTCAGAGCCAGCTTGCACACCAGTTATACTGTGAAGCCATTAAGCTATAACTAAATTTCGTTAGTTCCAGTTCATCCATTATTTTTTATTTAAGGCCAAAGCTATTGCCTTCTGGAAAACCAAGTTGATGCCGCCTGTTAAACTTTATTTGGATTAATGAAGGGTCTTTTACACCCTTTCCATGTCTCTGTGGTAGTTATAAGAAATAGTGAATATTCACCAGTTGTCTTTTCAAGTTCTGGTCTAATTGTATGCTTCCTAAGAAGGGCAGAACTTATAAGTTATACATTAAATTTTACATTTTTATGCTGTATTTTGTAACCACAGTAAGGAATAATGAAAGGCAATAAGTAATTTTTAACATACAGAGGTAACTTTTAAGGGTCAGCAGTTAGTTACAAATAATTAAATTAGATCGTTGAATACCCTTAGTCATTATCCAAAGCTTTTAAGCTTTTAATGTATGCTACAAAGCATTTATGTTTTGACATAAATTTTTATGCTTAACAACACACTACAAAATATTTATTCATTTCTTTAATTTGAAAACTTCAACAATATACCTATGAGGTTTTACTTGATTTGATAGAAACTAAATATTCCAAAACAACTAACAGATGTGATGCAAGTTATTGATATGTCTGAAAGTAACTACAAAGTCAGATAAAGGTTTAAATAAACTGTTTTTATTTAAAAAAAACTCAGAATATAAATGCACGTTCTTATACTAATAAAAAATCAACTACAGGTCATGATGTAAATAAACAGCAACAGTCAAACTCAAATTAAAAATGTGAACTAGTAGTCAAAGACTATACAGTTTAATTTTAATCCACGCTAGCTCAGAAACTCTATTTTCATAACAAATTCAAATGTTGGCAGCGAAAACACAAAGCTGAGTAATTATAAATTATCAGACCTGGCAGGAACTAAGGAAACGTGCAAGCGAAGGCCAGAAACACACTCTGGCTTACGATCCCAAAACCTCAGTTTAAATACTATCTGATTTATTTGCATTCTGATGAGGAAACAGGGGAAGTTATAATAAAGGCTGAAATTAAAAACAACTGGTTAATTTACATAATAATAATCGCACATATCTTTGAAAAATAATTTTCTTTATGTATTCAGTTTCTTTCTCAATAAGATTGCTCTTCATTTTAAGAGTTTTTGGATTTAATTAAAGATTTCTTTCATTCTAAAAAGCCACGTGTATTTAGAATGTATAGAAGAAACTGCCAATTTTATTTCTTTAGTAATATGGACATTGAGAATAAATATGAAATAATATAAGATTAAAGCTGGTTACAGAGCTGGTGTGGCAGAATTTTTTAGAATT